ATGGAGAGCATGTGGTCACAGCCTCCATGGGCTGGTGCTGGATGTGTTGGACTGAGCAGGGCATTGTGCTGCTGAGCATTGAGTGGCTGTGAGATGCTGTGGCAGGAGCACCTCCCCTAGGATTCCAGGCCCTCCAGTCAGGACCTGCTACCAACCTCAGCCATGTCATGGCTAGCTTTAGTCTAACCCCCATCACATCTGCATGGTGGCTGTGGTGGGGCAGAAGGTCAGACCCCAACCAGTGAGGGCTAACATGACCATATCTGACCACAGATCAGATTTGACTGGTGCGTAGATGGAGCCTCACCAGTGGGTTCAGTGGAGTTAGTCCTCTATGGAGCTGCAGTGGGGGACCCTCCTCTGGGGTCAGAATGTTGTTCAAGGAAACTCCTCAAGGCTGAGAACCCTCCCTTACTGTGTGACTGCACATTTCAGGTTACTCTTTCTAAATTGAGAATTTTTAAGTTAGTTGGGGTAGTATCAATTTCATTTGACATTACAAATCTGTATTCAAGTGTTGGTGAAGCTTTAACTGGTTTATTAAATAATTCTTATCTTAATAGATTATTTGTCTCAATTTCAGCCCTGATGGGAGCAGTGGGCTTTGGTCTGACCCCCCTGCCATGCCTGGGCTGACCTGCTGTGTGAGTCTTGCAGTGGTGTTGGAGCCCATCCTGCTGACAGAGCGATGTGCTCCCAGGGTACCTGGAAGGCTCTGTCAGGAAGCAGCTGCAGGGTAACACTGAACATTTGGGTCAATGCAGCACAAAGATTAATGGCACTGTGATGTACCTCTGCCCTGGACAGCAGGGGGAAAACAACCCCAGTTACAGGACAGTCCCCAGCAAGGTGGTGAGCACATGTGTGCATGCACGGCCTTCAGATACAGCCTTACACAGCAAATACTTATCAAAACATCTTCCAGCATCCCCTTTGCAAGCACTACACAGCAGCATGGGCATTTAACCTCCCTTTGGGGTTTAAAGCCTGCCCTGCCTCCTGCTAGCCAAAATTAACCTTTCCTTAGGCTTTTAAATCTGACCTGCCTCCTCCTAGCCTGACCTTGCACTGGGAGGAGGGTGGGCTGTGGTGTCCTTGCTGCTCTGGTTACTTCAGGACAAGGATGCTCACAGCATCTCCATGTCCCACATGCTTTTGCTATTGTAGGCAGAAAGTTCCCAGCCTTCCTGTTCCCACTGGAGGTCAATGCCCGGCAGTTCCCTGTCCTCCCTTGCTCTCAGTTCTGGTTGTCTGCTGACAGCAGGCTTGCAGCAGTGATGGGGCAGGGGATCTGATCTGTAAGGGGACTGTAAATGCAGTGGATCTACCAGGACCAGTACATTGGGTCTGGGGTCTTGGCCTTTCTGTCTTTACCTACCCTGGGGCACTGGTGAAAAATACCTCTGTATCAATATGCCCTGGTTTTCTCTTTCCTTCATGCTGGTAAGAGCTGCTGCCTAGGCAGAGGGGTGGCTGTGGCCTCCTGGTCCTGCTCTGCTTTTGCTTACAGTGACTGACACAAGCCTCAGTGGGGCTGCTTCTTCACTGCAGTGTCTCTTCCAGTGAAACTTACAACATTCCTGAGTTTGTGTCCTGCTCTAAATGGGATTGTGTCTTTTCTCTGCCAAAAACTGTGCTGAGGATGCAGGCAAATATGCTCATGTGATGCCCAGCACAGCAGTGACTGTCGATCTGTTATAGAATTCTAGAATGGTTTGGAATGGAAGTACCTTAATGCTAATCTTGTACCAATCCTCTGCTATGGGCAGGGACACCTTCCACTAGACCAGGTTGCTCAAAGCTCCACCCAAACTGGCCTGGAGCACTTCCAAGGGATGGGGCATCCACAGCTTCTCTGGACATCTTGTGCTGATGCCTCACCGTAAAGAATTTCTTCCCAATATCTAATCTAACTCTCTCCTCTTTCAGGTTAAAACCACTCTGCTTTGTCCTATCACTATCTGCTTGCGTAAAAAGTTGCTCTCCCTCTCTTTTATAAGCCCCCTTTAGATACTGGAAGGTGCTCTGAGTGTTCCCGAGAGCCTTCTCTTCTCCAGGCTAAATAACCAGTTCTCAGCCTGTCAAATGATGCTCTAAGTGTCAAGTGTCTCCGATGTGTTTGCCCCTGGGGAACCATGTTCTGCCGTGGCTGCAGGACTCCCTCACCCCAAGTCTTATGCCCACATCCCTTGAACTCTGAGCTGATGAGGAGGGCTGAGCACATGAGTGCCATGAGCTGGAGGACAGAAAATAGAGGTGTTACATAGTTATAGCCTCTTGAGTGTAAATGTTTCTGTAACATGCCTGTGCCCTTTGCAGCTTCCCTGGAAGAGGACTCTTAGCCAGGGCAGAGGGACTGCTGCAGTGGCTGAGATGTGGGAGCTGAGCTGCTCAGACACTGCCTGTCTTTGTGTGCTTCCAACAATTAATTGTTCATTTATAACGCAGCATGGGCTCATCACAGGCAGCCTGTCCTGGGCCACCAAGCTGCTTGCCTGGAGAAGCCTGGAGGAAGCCTGAGATGCCTGGAAGGCTGCAGATGCTCAGCTTCCCTCAGCAGGTCAGTGACCGTGAGTGCCTCCCGCAGGGTACCCGCGGCCATTCACTTTCTCAACTCAGGAAGAAAACAGCAGGGCAGGGTGGGGGCTGCAGGACAGAGGGGACCCCGGAGGAAATGTGCTCACCCGGCACAGGCAGGACAAGGCATCTGCCAGGGAGAGGAGGGGAGGTTGGCACCTTGTCTTGCTCAGGGAGTTGTGTGCTCCTGCAGCATTGCCAAGTTCTCACCTGTCCTTCATCAGTCTTTGCAAGCCTCCTTGTTGTGAAGTAACCCCACTCTGTTTTGTCCTGCAGCTCGCTGGGAGATGGGGATGGGCCCCAGCACCACAACAGAGGTGCAGGAGGGGACAGTGGCATGCAGGGCAGGTGTGCATGAGAAGTGGATGTGAACTTGGGTCACTGATGTTCCCCAAATAGCAGCTGAGAGTCTGGGTGCATGAAAAACTCCAGCTTAGTGGGTTCTTCCCTATCTGAAAGGTGGCAAACCAAAGATGGTCCACAAATCCAGCCAAGAGGTGGAGAACATTCCAGGCCTGTGGTCATGGAGCTTTCCAGGGATGAGGGAGATGTGGGTTCACCCAGTGGTAGCAGGAAGCACCCCATTCCTAGGAGCATGCCTCAGTTTCCCCATAGTGTATCTAAAATCAGTGGAAGGGGAAGCAGTAAATGGCATAGGTACCTTTCAAATAAGGCTTTGCTGGGAAACTACTGC